CTCTCTCTCTCTCTCTCTCTCTCTCTGTCTCTCTCTGGTGAGCACACACACATCCTATAGAAAAAAAAACTTAAAAATACTGACTTTGGACTGCAGATTAGCAGCCAAGACAATTAGAGACTTGACTGACAAAAATTCAGATTAAATAGAGTATTCTTTTGCCATCTCTTGTTCATTTTGATGTTGTTTTATACTCCTGAATTCTTCACCTTGAAATTTTTTGGCCTAATTATTTAAGAACAGCAACTTAACCTGGAATTACAACGCTATCAGAAACAATATATAGATTCTAAATCTGACTTTTCTAGCAATTTGCCATTACTTTGAGCAAGTCTAAAGGAGCCTACTTGTATTTGCCTAAAAGGAGGAAAGGGCAGATCAAGAGGGAGGTGACATGCAAGTTCTTCTTTTCCACACTTCCTCTCAAAATTCCTCTTTAAGATTTGCAAATTAAGTACCTTTCTTCCAAAGGAAGAAATCGTTGGTTCCCCCATAGATCCACAATATTCGTTAGTGCTGTGCAGTTGCTCTAATATGTTTGCCTAAGACCCACACTAAAAATACATTTCACATCGCAACCCAGCACACAGACATACATATATGTGTATGTGTGTTTATGTGACTGTAAATGGAAAATGGAAAAAAATTATTTTATGAAACACTGATTACCTTTACCATGTAAAATGCACTCGTATTTTCTCTGCTTGGTCCTTTCTTAACATTTACCTTCCCTCTTCCTCTCTCTCTCAATCTCTACCTTAATGATAGTCTTGAGACTACAATGTGGTAGTGCTGCGTTTTTAAAATTGTGGTGTGGTGTAGGATTCCAACAGTTTTGAATAGGAAAAAGAGGGAGAGGAGCTTTATGTTGAAGCTAGCAGGTGGCAGTGTTAAGATACAGGATTCCCACATGCTTGACTGCCGTTCAAGTCCTAGCCCTGGCGGCTTCAGACTCTCACCGGGCACGTGTGTATATGTATGCCCAAAAGTCTTAAGAGGAGAATGGGGAAGAATGGACTGTTGCATGGCCATCCCCACTGTAGTGTGATTTCTCACTTTCTGTCTCTCTGTCTGTCTCTCCAGTGAGTGCATGCACCTTATAGGAAAAAATCTCTCTCAAAAAAGAAGAAGTTTGTTCACCAATTTTTCCTTTTTTTTTCCTCGGGTAGTAACTTCTTAAATTTATCCATTGTCTGTCTTAGCTAAAATAGTACATACATCCTGCTTTTATTATATTAAAAGTTAATAATTCAAATAGTAAAAATGTTCAGCAGAGGACTGGCCCTATGGTGTAGTTGGTGAATGGGGCTGGATCCCACATGACTGATTACAGTTCAAAACCCAGCTCTGGTGGCTCAGAAAAACGCATCAGACTTGTGTGGGTGAGTACTCCAAATCCTGACAGGATGGAGAAATGGCCAAGAAAGGATTGCAGCATGACCATGCCAATTTAGGAGGTGCTTTCTCTGTCTCTCTCCCTCTGTCTCTGCCTTTCTCTGGTAGGCAAATGCATCTCTGGCAATAAAAAGAAAAGAAAAAGAAAACCAGAAAAAGCAAAAGGAGTGCTCAGTGGAATATACTGACAAACAAATGAATCTTTGCTTCTTACCAGGTTGAACTTCTTCCTGCCTTGCATGTGACATGCTCATTTGTGCTCAGATGTCTGTATCTCTACACATGGAATTCCAGCTGCCCACAAAACCATTCCCTTTCCCCACTCCTCTCACCTCCAGGGCTGCCAGCCCCGGCCTTTGCAACATTTCCCAGAACTTGAAGACTACTGAAGGTACAGGGAGAACACCCCATTCTCTAGACTCCTGCTCAGTCGGGTGCAATCGATATCAAGGGAAAGATAACTTGGGCTGTTATTTTTCATCCAAAGCTGTTTTTGGTTTTGTTTTGTTTTGTTTTGTTTTGTTTTGATCACTTGTAAATGAACCAAGAGATTCTAATGACTCTAGGTCCTCACCATCAATTTCCTTATTCCACTAGCGAGCTTCAATTTCATGGCAGCCATTTTATTACATGCAGTAGAAACATGCTCAATTTTGTTTGCTGCTGTTGTTTGAGTAGTTGGCCTTTAAAAAAGCAAGTAAATAAGTCAGCTTTGTGCATCACCTTTTATCACAAGGAGGGAACACTCACCTTAGCGCTCCCTGTGCTATGGCATCTTTTCATAAGAAAAATAATAGTTCTTTTTTTTTTTTTCTTTTTTTGAGAGGCTTTTGCTGTAGCACACATGTGCTTGCCAGAAAGACAGAGAGAGACAGAAAGTGAGAAATCACCCCCAGGGGGGATGGCCATGTCACAATCCCTTCTCCTCCATTCTCCTCTCAGGATCTTGGGCATGCACACACACACTCCAGGCATGAGTTTTAAGCCACCAAGTCCGGGACTCGAACCCTGGTCAACTACATGGGATTCCAGCGACATAGTCATTACACCAAATGCTGGTCCCAAAATAACAGTTCTATCTAGATTTCAAGTGCTACCCAGCATCCTTCTCACACATATCTTATTTAAAATGTCTTTACTGGCTTTTTTTTTTTTTACTACCAAGAACATGACAAATTAATGCCCTTCCAAGACATCTTCATATCTTCATTGTAAATATTATTTTAAATGGTAACATGATTAACCTCTAAGTTTTTAATCCAGTTCTAAGCAGTGTGTTGGTTTTGCCTTTATTTATTTATTTATTTATTTATTTTATTTATTTTACTATATTGCCATTTACTAAATGCCTGAGAGTAAGGACTCTATCAAAGACAATTAAGATCATGTGAAAAGGATATAGGGCCTCAGCATCAGTGGTTTCATGAGTAGCTTGCCAGACTGCACAACTGGAAGCCACATGCCGACTGCCGTTTGAATCCCCAACTCAGTCAGCCTGAAAACATGTCAGGTTAAGTATGCATATGCCCCAAATCAATGTGGGTTGGAGAACTCGAGGAAGGGAAGATAGCCATGACTGAGTCCTGTGGAAGATGTTTCTTTCTCTTTATCTCAAGTCTTTGCTGCACTCTATTAAGAAAAACAAAAAGGACATAGGCACTAATTTGAAAAGGCTTTTATTGACTTAAGATAGAATGATATGAACATTAAAGGTAATGATGATGTTAATAATGAATGAGGTAAAGATGTTTCAGAAAAATCAGTTGACCACCTCTAGAGTTGGCTAGGACACCAAGTCATTTATTTTGAAAATGAATAAAGAAAAAGTGAAGTATTAAAATCAATATCTTGTGGGACTAGCAGGTAGCATAATGCCTATATCGCTGGACTCCCACATAGTCGACCGCGGTTCGAGTCCTGGACCTGGTGGCTTAAACTCACGCCGGGTGCATGTGCGTGCATGCCCATGATCCCAAGAGGAGAATGGAGGAGAAGGGATTGTAGTGTGGCCATCCCCCCTGGGGGGTGATTTCTCGCTTTCTGTCTCTCTGTCTCTCTGACGAGTGCACATGCCCTGTAGCAAAAACCTCTCAAAAAAATTAATATTTTGTTTAATTGCCAGAAGGTGCATGGACTCACCAGAGAGACACAGGACAAACAGAAAAGGAAAAAGAGAAAGCATCTCACACTGGGACAGTCTGCAATATTTTCTTCTCCATTTCTCCTTCCCATTAAGATTATGAACTCACATACAATTGTACCTTGTGTGTTTCAAGTTGCCAAGAAACCAGGACGTGAAGAGTAGTTGGACATGTAAGTTCCAACTCCCTTAACCACTAGGTCACAGGACTGACCCTGATATTTTAATACACATTTGTAGCTTCTAATACACATTTGTAGCTTCTATGTGACCAATGTGAATTTGGCCATTTTTGCAGTGTAAGGCTACAATGTGTTTTCCAATGGTGTAGACTTTGCCTTCTAAAGTGATTCTGAATCTAATCTTGCCTACTTTTTCTTTTTTTATAATTTCATATAAATACAACAATTTATAATGGCATTTTGGTTTTGATATTCATCCAAGTAGAATATTTTGTTCCTTTTTATTAGTGAGTTGTATTCCACTGTACATGATGTGTTTATCACAATTTGCTTATACATTTGCTGGCATTTTTCCTGCATCCCTTGAAATAATCATTTTTCCCTTTTTATTGTATGAATATGATGATTGCATGGAATGATACTCATATTTTAAACCAACTTTGCATTACCACAATGTAGTATCCTTTTAAATGTTGTTGAGTTTGATTTACTACGATTTGTTCACAACCTTTGTGTCTCTATCTGTGAGGGATATTTGATCTGCAGCTCTTCTTTTAAGATCTTTCCCTGGTTGTAGCATCAGGGTAAAACTGATCTCATAAATTAAGAAGTGTTTTTACCAATTCTGTTAAATTCTTTGTGGAACTTTGACAAACATTAAATTTTGCATTAAGTGTAGCATGGTAAGTGTCATTTAAAGTATATATTTCAAATGTAAAATAATCTGTTCTTGTTTCTCCTTTTCCTAGTTTCCATAACAATAGATCCAACTCGTAGTTACATGTAGCTTGAAGTTGACTGAATTAGTGTCTGATTAGTAATAACAAATTTTAGAAAATTAGATCTAAGCAACCTTATGGACAATTGCCACTAGATCTAGGGGAGGAAATCGAGACTTTTAGCGATTGCCACACTTCCAGGACAGAATATCTTCCCACGCTGTACAGGTTTCCATCGGCAAGCCTTTACGACTAGGAACCGTATAAAATACCTGCTGTGTATATGTTGACATCATAAAGCTAACATGTTCATCTTTATTCTTTTTCCTTATTATGAAGGTGCACCCTGTTCTTATTGATACAATCCAAAGAGGAAGTTGCAAAACAATGAAACTCCAGAACTGTATGGCCTGGGGGCTACAAGTTGAACTGGGCATGCCCAGTCGCCAGGCAGATTTTTCGGTTAAGTGAAAACTACAACAGCGCGTACCGTGCGTGCAGAAGAGGGCGTGCCCTCGTGGAATTTAGAACGTTGCCTCAACCAATGGGGCCTCGCAGCCAACTGGCGAGGCTCCTCATTGGAGGCTCAGGAGGCGAGCGAGTGGAGGGCCCCGGGAGCGAGTCGTGGAGGTGCAGGTCGGAGAGGCCGGGCTACGCCGTGCCCTGCGCGTGAGCAGCTGCAGCGGCGGAGGCAGCATCCAGCGGCGGTGCCACCAGTTCCAGCCCGTAGCTTTACTTTTTGCTGCACCAACAGTCATTATGCCGAAGAGAAAGGTAAGTCTGACCAAAAAAAGATTTCGAAGGCCTTCAAATTGTGCTTACAGCAAATCCTGTCACGGAAATGGATCGCGCAGAATGTGCGTGGTAGTAACTCGGGGACTGGGAATCTCTTTGCTTCTCCACGCTTGTTTTCAGATGCCTGTTGCAGACATTCCTTCCTCCCACTTTGCTTCCATCCTCATCGATCTGTGACTGTTACTTTCTGTCCAGCGACGCGGCTGCCCCTCTGTATAAACTCATTCTCGCTGGAATGGTTTCCATCCCCAAAACAAGAAGCAAACGCGGTTTTCCGTTGCCCCTTCCAGAAGGGGAGTTTCCTCTTCGCCAACTGCCTGGTTGTGATTAGTGTAGAGGGAAAGCAGGGAGAGAAGAAAAACAACTACAAGCATAGTGAGATCGAAAAAGATAAATGCAATAAATCGGACAGATGTTGAAATTATTCCCATGTGGGCTGTGCCTACGGCTGGGTGCGCCGCGGCGGTTGTGAGGCTCAGGGAGAGTGAAAGCCATGTTTAAAATAGCGCTCACCCTCCTGCTCGCCGCCGCTGCAGACCCGTATGTACCAACTCCACTGTCAATCAGCGCTGAGGACAGCGCGGGCGGGGCCCGGCCGGGCCGGGGCGGCCCGGACCTACCAGCGGTTCGTAGCGGGAGCGGCAGAGTTGGCAGCCTGCAAGACCCGACGGCGCCGGGGGCGCCCGACATGGCTCATGCAAGGTCAGGGCCAGCCAGGTCCTCTCCAGCATTTCCCACCCACCCTCGGTCCGAAGGCGGGGTCCGCGCACTCGCGCCCTGGCGTGCGTAGAGGGAGCTGGGGTCATTTTAGTCTCATCTTCCGCTGCTGGTAGACTATGTCCCCTTCCGCGCAGGCCCCGGACACTAAGTACCACACACCGGGACGTTAGATGTCCCTTTTGGTTGGGCTGCGACTTGTCATTGTCCCAAGGAGAAAAAGGAGGACTTTCCTCTTCCCTTAGAAGAAAACTGATGTGTGACGACTGCTTTCCAAGGAAAAGGTTTGCCCCCTCCCACTGCCCTGCCCAGTGTTTCCAATATCGTCAGCCAGCCTGGATTTTAAATTTGCACAAGTACGAATAATATTCTGCTTGCTCAGTTAAAGACAGTGGATCCATTTGTGTGTAAGGGTGACTGCATTATTTTAAAACATTGAAGTTTTAGAATTCAGAAGCTTTTGCCTTATATGGCGATACTAGGAATTTGGTGAAAACTTGTGTCCTACTTCACTTTAAAAAACATAGCTAAGATCGCATTTAAACTCTTAGTTTGTTGTG